CTGGGGCTGGGGCTGGGGCTGATATTCTGGATCGAAATAAGCCTGTGCCTGAGAAACATTTAGTGGTAGCCCTTGACCGAGCTAGCAATGATATACCGGATCAGGCAAAACTAACTCTCAGTTTCAGTACGGGCATGTAATGAATAACTTCAGGATACTTCACGTAGCCGTTATATAATCTCTACAGATATTCTAGTAATGCGCCTTATTAAGGCAAGAACATTATGACTGTATGCTGTTATGCCTTTGTGCGTACAATTACCGCTAGCAATGAAAAATTTCGATGATCAGCATGACCCGGAAGAGTTAAGAAACAAGAAGAAAGATTTGGAAATGACATGTCACGAGATAATCTCAACATAGGTAAGCGGAAGCAAAACCAGCTTTCGAAAAAGTTGTCTTGAATTTTTTAATTATGACACTTTTGTCTTTATTTCATTTATTTAACTTACACTCGGGATTAACTAAGGTGGCATCTATAGCTAGCATCGATATGCTTTAAATTTACTAACTAATAACAATAACAACAACAATAAAAAAGAAAAGGTATTTACCTCATTAGTCTTCAGTTTGGATGTTAGCTGATATGTTGTTTTCTCTGGTGTCGTATTATTATCGGCATCATCTTCATTTGAGTCGTCTTCGGCGAGAGCCGTTGGTGAATCTTTATTATTACTCCATGGTATGGATGGACTACTACTTATTGCCGTTGTTGCTCTTAAATTGTTAACAAATTCATTACTATTGTTCGGCTTCTTTGAATGATCCATTATATCTGCTATAGCGTTATCAGTCAACGGAAGGTGTTCAAATATGATTGCGGCAGTTGTGAGTTGACAGTTTTTTTTTTTGCTTTTTTTTTTTTCTTTTCTTTTTTTTTAATTTGCGGTTAAGCAAATTGTATTGATATTATTCTTGTCTCTGATTTTTATTAACTTCTCTCATCCACTCTCTCCCTCCCTCTATCTTTCTCTTTTTCACTTTCTCTTTCTCGTTCCTGCCTACTCTATCCCGCTCTCCGCTTGTCCGATCTATCTTTGCACTTTACCGCGCAATTTGCTAATGCAAGCGCATACCGCAAGAGGAGCAGCAAACACACATTGTTGTTTGGCCGACAAGATCTCAAATAACAAAATAATGTAACTGTGAAAAATATATTATAAAATTATTGCAATTTTATTGAAACACACATACACAAAAGCAAAATTATGTAATAAGTGGGTAATAAGTGTAAGCATAAGCGAACGGTGAAGTCAAGTTCTTTTTTATTTTCTTTTTTTAATGCAATTACTTTAAATACAGAGCAGCAGTAGAAGTTTTTTTTTTCCCGACTGCAAATCGCGTTCCTTTGAATATATGTTATTAATGTGTCTGTCAGTTTCGCGTTTGTCATGTTAATGAGCATTTCGGAGTGATTGATTTAATGATACAGTTATCTGACAACGTGTTAAACGGCTTTAAAAAATTCTCATAACTTTTGCTCACTGCTTTATATTAAAGCAGGTAAAAAAATTGCATCCGTCACGCGGCAACAACAAAAATTGTTTCCAACAATATTTTGATATTTCGCTCATTTTATTAATTTTCCCCTTTTGTTACCAACTTGCGACTTACTTGTGCTTGTCATTTTTAATCTTGGTTTATTGACTAAAAAAAAAAAAAAAAAAAAAAAAAAAAAAAAAAAACATTCTCAGCGTGACGGTTTAGTTCTCTACTTATATCTTACATCAGGGTTTGTGTGGATGCGTATAAGATATTCTTTCTTGGGATTTTTGTTTCTTGTACGCTTAACTTAGGGGTACATTTTCTCCTTTCCGATAGCAATCTTTCTTACCCCAATCGATTCGGAATCATTTTCTATATTGATTTAACTACTTCTGTCCGTCCTACTGGATATTTTTTCTTCTTTTCAAGAGGAACCTGAAAGAGGCGCAACTTTTCTTACCACAATCGATTCGGAATCATTTCCGTCAGTCCTTCCTCCTCTTTAAGAGGAACTTGATATCGAAGCAACTTTTCTAACACCAAACGATTCGGAATCATTTTCTATATGTATTTAACTACTTCTGTCCGTCGTACTGAGTATTTTTCCTCCTTTTCAAGAGGAACCTGATGCAGCTATTCTTACACCAATCGTTTCGGAATCAATTTTTGTATTGATTTACCTGCTTCCGTCAGTCTTTCCCTCTCTTCAAGAGGGACTTGATATCGAAGTCATTTCGAAATCATTTTCTATATCGATTTAAGTACTTCTGTCCGCCCTTCCGTGTCTCTGTCTGTTTGACGCATTTCCATATATTTTCTCGTTCAACCTACAGCAAGCACTTTTCGAAATCCTTTGGCTAAATCTGCCACAGTATTATATTAAGTTAGCGCGAACGTATGTAACATAAAGAAAGACTTAAGATAGACCTACCGTTTAGTCTACCGATCGATTCAGAATCGTAGTCTGAATTGATCTAAGCCTGCCTATCCGTCTGTCCGTCTGATGTCTATTCATATAAACTTGTGTTCAAGCTACATGTCGCAATTTTTCCGATTGTTTTGACCCAAGAACGCTATTGAAAATGGTTCGAATCGGTCCACTTTTTCGACCATTCCCTATTCTGAAAAATCGTTATATGGAAAAATATTGCAGTTTTCAAAGTTTCTCGGCAAAAGTGGGTAAGTTCGGCTTTCTAAATTTGGACCAACTCAGCCTATTTTGACCCATAATAATGATTTAATACAAAAATAAGAATTTCGTTTGACAATGTGGTGTAGGGATGTAGGAATGGTCGGCCGTGACCGGCTACAATGACCTTAGTTGTTTTTATTATTATTAGAAAGGAATTCAACCGGATCATTATCGTATTTTGAAAATGTCGTTGTATGCAAATAATTTGCAACTTTTAATATTTCGCGACAAATATCAATGATAAACATTATTTTAGCAAATTTGTGGGATGAGATTTCATTTTACACTTCTGTGCACACAAAAAAAAAAATAAGTTATTATATGCAAAAGAGGTTTAACAAAATAAATTCACTTTGGAAGATTCTACTTTTCGAGCCGGTCGATTCTATTGAAGAGTGAAATCCTTTTATGGTTATTTTTTACATGGTATGACGAAGTCAAGTTAAAAAATTTACAATGGCCGAAGTGGTAGAGGGTACTCAAATGTCGGTCTTACCCGACTAACTTGCTAAGGACGACTCAAAGGTCTAAGCACATTAAGTTTTATCGTAACGTTTGAAACAATCTAAATTTAATTCTAAACGGGCAAAACAGGAAAACTGTGTACTCTTAGAGAAAAAATTTTATCGATCTTAAAAAAGATGGAAAGTAATAATACAATGCAATAAATGTATTTACCATCAGTATGTGCAAAGCATAAAACGACGAGCCACGAAGTTACCACATCTCTCCATCCGTTCAAGGAAAATGCATCAGCTTCGCAATCACATAGCAACTTGAATGGCAAATTTATGTGCAAGAGGCTAATAGGTTTTATTTTCGCGAATTTTTTCATACAAATATTAACAATAGCTACTCTTGCTAAAAATGCAATTGATCAATCGTGTCTTTAACATGGCAATATTCGAGAGGAACAATGCATCATTTTTGTGTGTGCGTGGAAAGTGATTTAATTTGTGATAGTTCGTAGATAGTTAAAATTCCATCGATAGTTAATAGATTGGTTAAGAAATTGTCTCAATCGACGTCACACTTGCTCAAAATGGATTGAACATCATCAACATCTTTCGTCTTTGGTCATCGGGCGGTAACTTGGTCGGTAACTTTTTCGATTTGATGGACTCGTTTGCTTGTCAGTATGGATTTGGGCACATAACCATAACTTGGCAACTATTCCTGTAAAAGTTTATGAAAGGTTGCCGACTCACATATATGCCATGAAACGGAAATTACACCAGATTCGACCCAAGGCTAATGCGTTTTTTTTTTGTTTTGAACTTTTTTTTTACTTTTTTTTTCATTTAAATTCCTCCCATCGGCCGATACACAACGATATACAATAAATTATGCAAATATTTGCTTTTTTATGCTCACCGTCTCGTGGCTTGATGTGATTTCATAAAAAAATATCTGACATTGTAAACGATTAAAATTATTTTAATCCAGTAGGTGTTAAGGATGGACATGCATATGTTTTACTTTTCTATTTTATTTTATTTTTTTTTATTTTTTTTTTTCTTTTTTTTTATTAACAACCTTGCCTTGATTGTGTTGATCATGGATGATGCTATCGGGTAAACAAATCACTACAACAAGTGCTATGTCGCCTCATGTACTTTCCTATATCGAAGGCTTTGATAAATATGTTATACCACGAAGCAAAAAAAAAAAAAAAAAAAAAAAAGGAAAAATAATGATGGCCATGACGCACATACAAACGAAATCCCAATAATAATCTTTGCGGCAATAGTTAACTTTTCAATGAAAAATTCTTATGTTGTGAGATTTTTTTTTTTTTTTTTTTTTATTTTATTTTTCCTGCTGATGGTTGCGTGGTGAGCATAAGTGTTTTAGTGAATCAAACTTTTGCGAACTCTAATGCGCAAATTTATGTGATCTGGAACATACACCCTGGCCTATTCTTATCAGAAATTTTGTATAACTTTTCCATCATCAATTCTATCAAGCGTCGCAAAGGAGCCCTGATAGTGTGCGTATAACAAATTCACGTGAAATCCTTTTCAAATCTTTTTTACATTTATTGATAATTTCACATTTTATTGTTTAATGCGTAAATTATGCGCATATGCGCTCACCTCAAATATGTAAAGACTACTACTACTACTACTAACGCTACTAACGCTACTAATTATTTATTTGCATTATTCCCTAATGAGCAATTGCTGCTGGGCTACATTAGGTATTCTTCGAATAAATTGAGCTTGTAATGTTCTAATATTGGAATGCGAGAATAAAATTGAGTACAAATGATTTCTATGCCCCTCTTATTGTCGTCGTCGTTTAGACAAATGCCTATAATTACACATTATTCAAACCTTCTTCTTAAACTCGAGCAACGTGATTTATCTGATCTAACTGAATCGTTCTAGTAAACTACTGTCTAGGTATGCAGATAATAAAGCAAAAATTAACTTTCAATAATTTTTTATGGGACAAAGACGTACGCCAGAGCTGGCACAAAACATTTTAAACCGAATATTAGGCTGACTAAATTTCAATTTGCTCTAATGACTAAACTAAAAATTAAAAAATATATTGAGCTTGAAGGAAGTTAACTATATCCATCTACCTATCGCTATCAATGCACTTGAACTTAATACTTTTTTTTGTTTCCTTTTACTTTTCAATTTCATTCAAGCCTTTAATTAGTGAAAGAATCAAAACTGAACGATCATTATTTACGCGATGTAAGCTGAAGATGAAGTCTTTGGGACTAGGCTAAACACTCCTTCGTGAACTCTCTTTCGTTGTAATGCAATTGTATCTATGAAAATTGTTTGTTGAGTGTAGGGTGCATGCGACTCGTTTGATTAGATATTTGGCCAAACGGGGTTAGGGGAGACTAGAGCTACTGCGACAATCCTTTTTAGGCCTTTTTCAGGATTGTTTAGAGGTTTTCTAATAAGAAATTCAAGAGTGCTTCACGTGCAGAGTCTATGGACAGGTATAAAGATATGTAATCCATGCAAAAGTATTGTCCTTAAGTTTTACGTATTGATGTAAGTTATCTAGCTGGAGGCATATATAGAAAATGTGTACAAGTTTCTTGGAGTTCATGCGTTACTTTTCCTACCTAAGTCGTTCGATATTGTTGCGGAATCGGGACGGATATTGGAAAATGGACTCAACTCAGTATGTAAAGCGCAGACGAATGCGAATGAAGTCC